TATGCTGTTTTTGAGTCCTTCTAGTGAAATTTTCATTTCCTGTATTGTATTCTTCATTTCTGATTGGTTCTTTTTTATATCTTCCATTTCTTTGTTGACATTCTCACTGAGTTCATCTATTCTTCTCTGCACATCAGTGAGCATTCTTATCACTCTTTGTTTGAACTCTCTGTTGGGTAGGTTGCTCATTTCTGTTTCACTTAGTTCCTTTTCTGGGGTTTTGTCCTGTTCCCTTACTTGGAATGTATTCCTTTGCCTCCTCATTTTCCCTCTTTCCCTATGCTTGTGTCTACGTATTAGGTAGGTCAGCTACGTCTCCTGCTCTTGGATTTCTGACCTTATATACGTGATGCCTTAGGAGGTCTGCAGTGTGCTTCCCTCAGTTCTCAATGTTCCAGGGGTGACCCCTATGTGGGCTATGTGTGTCCTTCTGTTGTGGCCTGTTTGCTCTCCCTGTAGGCACCCAGGTAGGCTAAGTTATGCTGCTGACCAGTTGTTGTAATGCTCAGCTTCTTGTAGTTGTTGTGGGCCCTTCAGTCTCTTTATCAGGTGTGGGAGCCCCAGCATTGTTGGCTGCAAGTTCTAATACCACATTTGTGTTGCAGTATTTCTTTTAAGTGAGTAGGCCCCCAGCATGGCAGGTTGTTACGCTCAGGGTCTTACAATTGCTATAAGCCTCCAGCCTTTAGGTCTCTTGTCAGCTCTCTGAGGATTGCAGCTGGGTGGGGCTGGCCTCAGACATGGGAGCACCCAGTTGTTTCAGGCTTTGGAAGGTGGGGCAAACCCCCTATTTGGGTCTTTGAGAAGCACAAGTCTTCTTCAGCTGACAAGACCTGCCGCCCACAGTTCCACACGCACAGTTAACACAGTCCTGCTCCATGTGTGCACCCCCACCTCTTGAACTAGACCCAGTCTCTCCACGGTGGGAGCCCTACACACTGCACCACTGCCCCACATTTCCACCTGCTCCTTGTGCATGCCCTGCACCACTGAAGTGGGCTTAGTTGCCAGGCTGCAGCGAATCCAGTTACCAACCCATGCAGGCCCACATGTTGCCTGAGGGCTTGTTGTTGGGTGGGGCCAGTCTCTAGGGTGGGCTGCCTGCCCTGGCTAAGGTGGATTAAATCTGTGCTCTAGTTGGTGGGGCAGACCTGGGCTAGCAGGCCCTAGGGAGAACTCCAATGGTGTCTGTGTCAGCTCGCCCACACCAGGGCACAACAATGGCCACCACCAATGTCCCAGTCCCTGGAGTTCTCGCCTGTCACCGAGATGAACTCAGGGCCTATTAGTTGTGTTTCTTTTCACCAAAGCACTGTGCACCTTTCTTTCTGGTGATTTTAGGTTGCTTTCTGAAATGGGTGAGTTTGCACATGGGCCCCTTAAGAGCCGGTTTCAATTTCTTTGTGAACCAGCTTTTCTGGGGGTACTCCCCAATGTTTTAGTAGCAGGCAATGTCAGATATTATGCCACTCGTCTCGATTGTGCTGGGTCCACACAATGCCCACAGCGGGGGTGCTCTTGGCTCAGGGCCCACTCCTCCAGGGAAGGCTGCTTACCTGTGGGCTGCTCCCGGGCGGCCGTGAAGCTGGCGGTTTTTGAAGACAGCATTTTTCCTCTCCTGAAGGGAGTTTCTGCGTCTTCCACCTCAATTAAGATTGTCCTTTGTTGCAGGAGTTCCTCTTATCCAGTTTTCAGTTCTGTCTCAGGGGTAATTTTTCCACGAGTAGTTGCAAATTGGCTGTGTCCTCGTGAGGAGGTGAGTTCAGAGTCTACTTATGCCACCATCTTGATCTTCCCCCTCTACTGTTTCTTTTTCCTTGTATTTCTGTCTGCCATTTCAGTTTGCTGGTATTCTGGGATGTTTTTCTCCGCTTTCTCTTTATTTATAATTTGTGATTTTGCTCTGAATTTTTGCATTGTGGTTAACATGAGGTTGTATAAAAGATCTCATAGATGAGATATTCCTTTTTCTCATTGCCTCTTATCTACATTAGCCTATGCATATTCTGTCCTTTTCCTCTTCCCATTCTATGTTTTCATTATCACCAATTTTTTTCTTGTTATGAGTTTGTGAACAAATTGAAGTGTTTATATTTATTATTAATGCTTTCTTTTTCTTCATCCTTTATGTTATAATTAAGTGTTTACAGATGTATTCTCGTATAGAACTGCAATTTTTCAGTTCTGTCTCTCTATTTATCTCCTTGCTCAAAGTTTTGTAAACTCTTGCCTTTTTGTTTCAGGTGAAAGGGCTCCCTTCGTAATTTCATGTAAGGCAGATCTAGTGGCAATGAACTCACTTAGCTTTTTTTTTTTTGTCCAGGAAATCTTTTATTTCTCCATCATATCTGAAGGTTAGTTTCACTGGATAGAGTATTCTTGGCTGCTAATTTTTTGTCTTTCAGTATTTTAAATATATTATTCCACTATCTCCTAGCCTTCAAGATTTCTGCTGAGAAATCTTCTGAAAGTTTGATGGAAGTTCCTTTGTAGGTTATTTTCCTCTCTCTGCTGCCCTTCATACTTGCTCTTTGTCATTGACTGTTTTTTTTCTTGAGGAAGATCAGCCCTGAGCTAACATCCATGCGAATCCTCCTCTTTTCACTGGGGAAGACTGGCCCTAAGCTAACATCTATTGCCAATCTTCATCCTTTTTTCCCCTTTTTCTCCCCAAAGTCCCAGTAGATAGTTGTATGTCATAGTTGTACATCCTTCTAGTTGCTGTATGTGGGATGCTGCCTCAGCATGGCCAGACAAGTCGTTCATCAGTGCATGCCTGGGACCCAAACCAGGCCACCAGTAGTGGAGTGCACATCCTTAACCGCTAAGCCATGGGGTCGGGCCCTGTCATTGACCTTTGAGAGTTTTATTATACGCCTCAGAGAACGTGTTTTTGTATTGAGGTAATTAAGAGTTGTATTAGCTTCATATACTTGCATGTCCACGTCCTTCCCCATGTTTGGGAAGCTCTCAGCTATTACTTCTTTGAATAAGATCTCTGCTCCTTTCTCTCCCTCTTCTAATTCTGGGATACCAATAATCATTATGCTACTTTTCCTAATTGAGTGAGATATCTCTCAAAGAATTCCTTTCTCTTTTAAAAATCTTGGTTTCCCTCTTCCTTGGCCTGATTCATGAGTTTCTATGTTTTCTATCATAGAAATTTCTAGAAAATTCTATCATATAAAATTCTGTCATATCATAGGGCTTGTATAGGTTTCAATCCTTGACGTCACTAATTGTGTCCTCCATATAGTCTGCTCTATGTTTAATGCTTTATACACTATTTTTCATCTCATGAATTGCATCTATCTTCCATGGCTATATTTTCTGTTGGACAAAAAGGAAAGTCATCTATCTTGTCTTCTGTTGGAGGTTCACAATGTCTACCATTTTGTGACAACTGAACTGTTTCCTATTCTTGTTGTGAAGGTTTTGACATCTGCTATGCAGGAGGAGCTGGAGGCAGCACGGACCAAACCATCTGTGTGTGACTTGTTCCGCACACCCAACCTGCGTAAAAGGATCTGTTTACTGTCCTTCGTGAGGTAGGATTCAGAAAGTACATAAAGAACATTAAATTAGTGGGGACATGATTCTATGTGTTATTTCAGGAGCTACCATATGCTTAAGTATAGATTCAAGATAAGAAATGAGAAAGTCACAAAGATAGTTGCTATGTTTATAGGTAGAGAAAGGGCTAAGAAAAGACTGACATGGAACTATTTGTATCATGAGGAGTTTTGTTGTCACATCATTCTACTAGGCTCATCACTGGAGATGATGCTGAGAACTTCAATCATGGTACAGATCTTGGCTTAGCATTCTTCATTTGTTTTCATTTTATTTGAGGTAAAATTACAAATAGCAAAGCACTCAAACATATGCATCAATGAATAGTTCCATATGTAAATATACGACCATCACTCAGATCAGGATATGGAAAAACTCTAAAACTCTAGAAGGCCCCCTCATATACTCCAAAAAGAATACCCTCCACCTCCCCCCAAAGAAACTTAACAACAATTATAACCTCCTTTATCATACTATTATTTTATGGTAATTTTTAAATCATTAGCTTGTAAGGAAATTGTGTTTAAAATGTACCTACGGTTTGTTTTAATCATGTATGCTAAGACACACAGACTCAGGAATGATTGTTGTGAAGGAAGTTTATACTCACAGATCCTTAGAAAGAGGAGGCATGAAACAGCCCACAGGGTCATTCAGGGAGGCACTAGGGTTGGTTAGATGGTAAAGTAGAGGAGAAAAGAAAGATCATGGCCAAGAGTCTTTATTTTATTTATTTATTTTTTTGTCAGAAGGAATGGGAAAGGAAGGTAGGTACTCTGAGAAAGCTTAGGATTGGAAAGTTTGAATAATTTTAGTGGACTCTGGGCTATAGTGGTGGTCCATAGTTGTCCAGTACCAGGCCCTTGGTTGATTTAGGATGGGGGAATATTGACTTGTTGTGTGAGTTTGATAAAGGAGATTGTTGGGAGTTTGGACTCTGGATTGTTGGTTTGTATTTAAAGGTGCACTCACAGGGGAGTCATTTGCTATCTCTAAGAATTAGTTAGCCCTGGGAAAGGAAAACTCTCCAGGATCAAGACCCTAAATGCCAGAGTATCAAAATATAGAAAAAAAGATAGTATAATCAACACAAATATTCTACAAATCAGACCATGCCTTCTTACATGACAACAACCCTTGGCTTCTTGACTCAGTATTATCATTTGTAAGACAGAGAATCTAAACATTATGATATCTGTGTTTCTTCCTTTTACCACAGATTTTCAAGTTTTATTCCTTTTTTCGGCCTGACTCTCCACCTCCAGCACTTGGGGATGAATATTTACTTGTTTCTGATTCTTTTTGGTGTAGTCACACTTCCAAGCAATTATGTTGCACTTTTTGCACTGAATCACCTGGGCCGTCGAGTCAGCCTGATGCTTTTCCTGTTCTTGCTGGGAATTTCCATTCTGACCATCACATTTGTGCCCGAAGGTGAGAAAAGAGCACAGAGTGGGAAATGGCTTCTCTGCATTCCTCAAGGATTGTGTGGGTCACACCTATCCGAAGCCAGAAGGAAAGGGAGAATTATATTCTAAGGGATTAGTACATCTTATGCCATGAAGTTGCTGGGAAAAGAACCAGAGGTGAGTATAGGACAGCACAGCTATATGGTTGTCTTCATCACATTCTAGAAGTATCTGGAAACTGATGCCATCTAATACTGACAGTTTCTCTAGGACAGCAATTAACCACTTACCTTTGGCCAATCACACTTTATGTAGAAATCATGGAGGGTCTAGACCTTGTCATTGTATCCCATGTGAGGACCCAGTACTGTCACTTCCTCTGTCTAGGCTCTTTCTTGTTACTACAGCTTCAGTGACAGTTTATTATTTGATCTCTATGTATCTACTCATGTGTCTCATATCAGGTCTCCATAACAGAAACACTGGTTCAGGGGAATCATCTTGACCTCTAGAAAACAAAAATTCCTTGTCTTCAGGCAGACAGGTGTACAGCAGGAACAAGGCACTAAGCCTCTCTCAGAATCTATTTTACTAAATTGAATGATTGTATGTAATGAATAGGTGACCCAGGTGGTCGCCATGCCTCACCTGACGACCAGCATAGTTATGTGATTTCCAAGATCTCACATTGGTGGGCTCCACTCATCCTGAATGTCAGCAATGATGCAAGTTTGCTACCTAACTGCAGAGCTCACTTCAATCCTGCTATGCTCTTAATGAAATTTTTTGGGGGGAGGGAGGGCAAGTCAGGGATAGAAAACTAAAATTTCACTTCATTAGTTTCCAAAGTCAGGATTTTTTGCTAATAGAGATCCTTATACTTGAATAGTGAAACATTATTCTAGATCAAGCTACTCACCAGCTTTTCCATTACAATAGGAGTCCTGTTTCTTTTATTACTCTCTTTACATTAATAGCCTCTTGTCGATATTGTGCAAGTTCCTAGGTTTAAAACTCTCAAATGGATGAGTCTTACACCACTCAGTAATTGCTCACATGACAGTCCTACATTTCATGTGAAGGCAAAGGAGACACAGAACAGAATTAATGCAAGACAGCACCTGATGGACTCCCCTTCCCCTCTCCTTTTTCAGAAAATCTGAGATATGCAAATGGAGTTGATGAAATAACTCAATCTTTTTATTCACCATAATCCATAATATGTAGATAAGTCACATTTCTCACCTGATTGGACAATGCACGTTTTCTGACTCCATGCAGTTTCTCTACAATATATTTTATACATGCAAAAACACCTCCAATATGGTCTTCTTCATTTGTAATTTGAGGAATGTTGATTTCTTCAGCTCCAATTTTCTGAGTCTCACTGGTCTTCTTTCCAGAAATGCAGACCCTGCGTGTGGTTTTGGCAACTTTGGGAGTAGGATTTTCTTCTGCCGCTCTCACCAATTTTGTTACCTATGGAAATGAACTAATCCCCACTGTAATCAGGTAAAAAGTTCATGGATGGTCACTCAGAATAAAAACAGATCATTTCCAGATAACTTACACTTATTGGGGGAGGTAAACTAAGGCAGGTTAGTTATGAAAAATAATTAATTAAAATAGTAATAATAATGACAAAAATTATAGCCAAAATTTACTGAAAGCTGACTTGTTGCCAGCCACTGAGTTATATCCTTTAATGTTTCTTCTCCGGTAATCTTCTCAACCACATGAAGTGTAAATGCTATAGATAAGAGTAGTTTATTAATGATTGAATTTTGTCCTAATGCAACGCAAACTTGAAAAAAATTGCTAACAAATAAGAGAGAAAATTTCCAACATAAGAGTATGTCATCAATCTCCATTTCTAAACACACTGATGTGCTATCTACCATAACCAAAGCAAAATAATAAATCACAAGTAATATGTGTGGATTTTCACCAATTTTTTTGTATTATTGTTTGCACCCCAAGAGCAATAGCTTTAGGAATCATTGGAATTGCTGGTAATATCGGGGCAGCCCTGGCTCCCCTCTTGATGATCTTAATGGTGTATTCCACCAACCTGCCATGGATCATGTATGGAGTCTTCCCGATCCTCGCTGGACTTTTTATCCGACTCCTTCCTGAAACCAGGAATCAGCCTCTGCCTGACTCCATCCAGGATGTGGAAAATGAGTGAGTAAATCTTCTAGATGTCTCTGAGGGTTGCTGTGCATTATACATCTGTGATGAGAGGGACAACACACAATTCAAGGTGATTCTCCCCAGGGGAAGCTTTAGACCTAGACTATTTCCATGTGGTCAGTGTCTTTGGTTAAGCTACAGGCTTATTCTTCTCCCACAGTGACCTCAGACTCCCACAAGTCTCCCTAGATCACACAGATCTGCTCTGCACAGCCTGAACTAGTAGGTTTGTGGTGAAGAGGCCAAAATTAGCCACCCTAGTGTGACATACACAGCCCCTAAGGTATTTCACAAACGTGCACGTATCCAAACACCTGATTCTCATCTCCCTGTCCCTGGAAGCCCTCAACCCAGGGAGTGCAGGTAAGGTCTCTGAGATTGCTGATTCCTGTAGACCTGTGTAATTTGATTCTTATTCTCCAGAGAAACAGCACCAATAAGATGTGTATATATACCACAAGAGAGATTTACTTTAAGGAATTGGCTCACAAGATTGGAGGGGTTTACAAGTCTGAAGTCTGTAAGCAGACAGCAGCCTGGATTCCCAGGGAATAGTTGAAGGAAGATAAGAGTTCTCCAGTTGGAAGGCAAATCTGGAAGCAGAATTCCTTATTCCTCTGGGGGATCTGTCTTTTTCCCATAAGGCCTTCAACTGATTGAATGAGACCCTCCACATTGTGAAGTGTAATGTGCTTTACTTGAAGTCTACTGATTTAAATACTAATAACATTTAAAAAATACCTTCAAAGAAACTTCTAGACTGGTGTTTGACCAAACATCTGGGCACTATGGTCTAACCAAGTTGACCTACAATATTAACCACCACAAGGCCTGAGGACTGCCCTGGTCACTGAGGAATCTGTGGAAGGTCAGGGAGAGGACAAGAGCCCCTCCCACAGATGACAACATTTCTCAGGGGAAGGAGTCCTGTTTTGCTTCCTGTGAGATTCAGACCATCTGTTTTTGACTGGGAAAGACAGTGTTGAGAACCAGAGATTTTAAACTGATGAAGAAAGTGAAAAGGTTCTAAAACTTTTCTATACTTCTTTGCCTTTTCCAAAACCATTTTTCCAATGCCAAGCTGTCCAAGGGTGAGACAAGAAACTATCAAAGCTGCCTTGTCAGATCCTGCTCTGGGAACAAGGTCTTTTTCTTCACAAGATTTACTCAAACCCTTGGGACAGGGTTCCTGGTTTGTAGGAAAGCTGCTTGGTGAAAGATAAGCTTGCTCTAAAGAATACAGGACATGTATGCTTATTTCATGTCTTTTCATTTTTTGTGTTTGTTTATTGGTTTCATTGTATTTTTACCAGGAGAAAAGGCTGGAGAAAAGCAAAGAAGGAAGATATTTCCATGAAAGTCACACCATTTTAAGGATCTCCAGGAACTAACTAACTGCTGATTCAAGACCAAAATAAAGGGGGAAAATGAGGTAATTCCTCATAAGGGAAAATATGTAAAATAAATAAATAAAATATATAATGGAAAAATGAAATTTTTTCCCATTGCAGAGTTAAATTACTAAGTATAAAATACCTATAATTATCATAATAAGAAATGTGAAGAAAAGATAATATTTTAAAACAACTTATAATAGTAGTATAATTGTAGCTAACCAGCATGTTCCTGGATAGCCAGTTTGATTAGTACTAAAAATAACAATTCTTCACCCAGTTAATAGGTAGAATAATTGATGTAGTAATTACAATGAAAAAATACATACTTTTGGAAGATTTGAAAAATAGTTACATATTTATCTAGAAACTAAAAATAAGGTAATTCAAAAAAAGAGGATCATGGAGTGAGGGGAGGCTGGCTACTGTATGAGGTAGCATATGTGGGATTTTATTATAAGTGCAATAGTCAAAATAGTAATACCAGATGCATGTACATATCAAGCGAATTCCAGAAACAGATCATAGTAAATGTAACACAATATATAATATTGGCATAATAAATCACAGGGCAAAAATAAGGATTATGTAACAGATCACATAAATAATTATTTAAAAATAAATGACTAATAATGAGACTTCATAACCTAAACTAAAATAATTCCACTTTAATGAAAAGTTAAATGAAATAAAAGAACTATAATTTTCATTACAAACCTTGGCTGCAATATCTTGGGTTAAGTACTTTTTGGATAGTAAAACAGAAGCCAGAAATTTAAAGACAAGTAGATTTGAATACTACTCATTTGAAGACTCTGCCGGGCAAAACCCTAACAACTTATTAGACAAAACTAGAAAAATATTCATCAAAATGATAAAAACAGTTAACTTTTAGTGGTGGACTTTGAAGTGACTGTTACTTTCTTCTTTGTAAGTTTCTGTAGTCAAAGTTTAAACAAAGAACACATAAAATTTCGAAATATTATATGTCAAAAATGAAAAGAGCAAATGACAACATAAACTGTTTTCAAAATGTGCTTTAAAATGTAGAATTCTCATAATTTCTACGCAAAAAGATAATAAATAATTCCATAGAAAATGAATAAAAGGTAGAACATATCATTTTCAAGTGATAAAAAGAAACATGGGCAATAAATCTATGAAAAACTGTACAAACCCACTGCAATTAAACAATACAAAATAAAATAAAATGTAAGATGAACTTACAATATGCTCATTGTCAAGGCTAGTGGAGTGCAGTTAAATAGAAATTCATTGATTGATGGTGAAATTATAAAATAATTCTTGCTAGAGACCTGCTAAAAACACAGATTGGTGTCATTATTATGAGCTTTGAAATAAACTTTCATTAATTCAATAGCCATTCATTGAGCATGTAGTAACTACCAAGAAGTATGATAAGCATCAGAACATGAAATGAAAAAATAGGCATAAAATACATATAACAGGTTTGTATCTTAGTACACAAGTGCGGGTGTTTTCTCACATTTTTATTTTCTACAGGTCAACGTAATTTAATTTAAGTTCCCATTTCCTCCAGGTTGGCGGTAAACCACAAATCAGTTAGTTTTGGGGATTATTTCCACAATCCTTCCCTAGCAGAACTATCTAATTCCCCTGGGCACATACAATGCCAAAGATATGGCATGACAACAAGAGAGGGCAGCTACTGGTTATCAGTTATCTGTTCAAAGAGATTACCAGGTTAATAATAGCCCTGTACACACTTGGTTGCTACAACATCCCATTTACCACATGAGGTGTTGGAATCTGGGGCTTCCACTCTGACTGTTCTGCTCCCTATGCAGCCACTCTGTCTGTGTCATCTGCTTCCCTAAGGCACTACTATTGTTCAGGACTGGGTCTTTCTCCTCCATAACCTACAGACCCTCTGCATATTTTGCCCCTTCCCAAACACTCAACTTCCTTCCTCTTCTCTGATTACCTCTTCCAGAGACCCTCAAGTTATCTTATGAACTTTAGATTTTGAAAACAAAGCCAATCAAGCTTCTTCCTTTCACCTCTATAATGCCTTCTGAGAGACAAAGAAGCAGAAAAATTACAAACTATAGAATTTGAGAAAGACACATCAGAAATTCCAAAGGAATCATCCATAACGAATGTCATTGGCTTCTCCAGCCACATTCTTTCTCCTAATGAAATGTTTGAGATCCTATCACAAAAAGGAACAGGTTGAACCTATGGTTGTTTACTTTGAAGGATGGTGGCCAATCCATAGATTCTGGTGTGTCTGGGGGAGAATGTCCCACAGTTCTTCATGGGCGTTTAATCGTTTAATCGTGCAAACCAGCAGCTGTGCTCCGTGAGATGGTCAGTGGTGCAAGGATTGAAAAAGAGTGATGTAAGTAGTAACATCAGGGAAGATGGCAGAGTAGGAAGCACCAGGAAAACATCTTTGCATGTGGACAACAAAAGTAACGGCAGAAAGTATCTGGTTAACTATTTTAGAAAAATAAAGTCAGGTCAAAGCTTGCAGCTCCCAGGTGAGGCTTGGCTGATAAACTGTGATTAATTTCAGTCAATTTCAACAATTACCATAGTAGTGGCTACCATCTACACACACTTATCCCTATGGTGAGTAGCCATGCCCATGTTTTTGGAGCAGGTTGTGGGAGCCGGGGTGGGCAAAAAGGACCTTCTCCTTCAAACATCAAGGATCTGTGTTCTGATTGCTGCTTCTGATACCAGAGGTGCCTACATAGAGGTAGGTGGCCATTGTTACAAACTGCACAGGCTGAAGAAGCTTTAAGAGACGTAAAGAAAAAGCACTTTTTTTCTTCTTTTTCCCTTTTTCTCCTTTTGTGAGCTATACATTTAAGTACTAGGACAATAAAAAGCAACCACATATACATGGAAGTTTAGAAGCCAAAATTCAGGCTCAGGCAAAGATTTAGTCTCAGAATAGAACCAAGAAAACCTTAAGATTTCATCTTAGGATGATCTCTGGCACAGAGATACCCTGTAACAATTTTTTTAAATGAAAGAAAACCCTGGTAAAGGCAGAAAATCTGACTTCCAGTTTTACTGCATTAAGCTTCAAATGTCAAGTTTGCAACAAAAAGACATAGGAGACACAAAGAAAGAGAAATATATTACCCATTTACAGGAACAACGCAAATCAACAAAAGTCATCCCTGAGGAAGCTGGAGGATGAATTTACTAGGCAAAGCCTTTAAAACAACTGTCTTAAAGATACACAAAGAGCTGAAAGGAGACTTGAAAAAGGATGAGAAAATGATGTATGATCAAAATGAAAATGGCAATAAAAAGCTTGAAGATACGAGAAGGAACTAAAAAGAAATTATAGAGGTGAAAAGTACAATAATTGAAATGAAAATTTCACTAGAGGGGTCCAAAAGCAGATTTCAGGAGGCAGAAGAAAGAATCAGTGAACTTAAAGATAAGACCATTGAAATTATCAAATCTGGGA